GGCAGCAGCGGGAGGCCCCATTAGCTAAAGTGGTGCTTCAGGTTAAGAACAGTTTCAGGTTAAGAACGGACCTCCGGAATGAATTAAGTACTTAACCCGAGGTACCACTGTACTCTTGCTTACAATGTAATTTGTGCTTGCATCACCAACATCCAGCTGTCTGTATGCATTTGTTCAGGTGTGTTACGTTAGGGCTGTTAATCTGAATAAGAAATCGGGTCGGTCATGTAGCTGTATATATTTAAGGTCTATATTTAAGATTATATCTGCATAAATTAGCATATGAAAAATAGTTATACAGGAAAAAGCACACTTGCTGTAACATGTTACAACACACTTCATCCAGCAGAGGCATTTTCTCATTTCTGCTGAATTGAGGGGTAAGAATGTCTTTGTGTTTCAGCACACAGACCTATTTGTTTCTATAAAGCATTCATAGTAAATCTATACTCTGCCTTTTAGGACAGCTTTCCTCACAAGCCAGCTCACAAAAACTGATTAATAACAATTTACGGGTAACAGAATCAGCCCCAATACGGTCAGCAGACACTGATAAATAACAGGAGAATATAAAACAGCGGACTCCAGTAAACTAAAAACACAAAATAGAATAGCAGCTATAAAGAAGTTTTTAATTAAGTTATTGCCTGTGAGCTGCAAGCCCACCTATATTTAGTTTAACCAAGGACAGTGATCTAAATGGGATTTACTCATTTGTGAAGGATTACAGCCATTCCTTTTCACATCACCAGACACCTGCAGACAGCCTGCTTGCTCTTCTTTGACAATTTGCATAAGTACTTGTATTTAAAATAGTATTCAGAGTATTCCTTCTGAATCATTGGAAGCATCATATTAGTTGTGCAACACACTGTAAATGGTTTGCTCAGTTTATTGACTAGGACAGCAGTCGTATGCATTTCCCCATAGGATTGCTCTGCAAACATTATAGCTGTGCAGTGTGAATGTGTGCATTTGAGTTTATAAAGTGTGTTTGTAAAGTTTATATAAAGTGTGTGCTCTTTATTTCACATGCCAGCGCAATAAAACCATCATGCAAGATTTTATGAGCACCTAAAGCGGGTGGCGCTGTGGGTTAAACCACAGAGCCTAGGACTTGCCGATCAGAAGGTCGGCAGTTCAAATCCCCATGACGGGGTGAGCTCCCGTTGCTCGGTCCCTGCTCCTGCCAACCTAGCAGTTCGAAAGCACTTCAAGGTGCAAGTAGATAAATAGGTACCACTCCAGCGGGAAGGTAAACGGCGTTTCCGTGAGCTGCTCTGGTTCGCCAGAAATGGCTTAGTCCTGCTGGCCACATGACCCGGAAGCTGTACGCCGGCTCCCTCGGCCAATAAAGTGAGATGAGCGCCGCAACCACAGAGTCGTCCGCAACTGGACCTAATGGTCAGAGGTCCCTTTACCTTTTTAAAGCTCTTTAACATACTCTGCTTGAAGCCCATAGTTGCAAAACATTTGGTGCAAAGATCACATGCACTTTTTTAAGCATATCACTGCCATCAAGGCAGAAAAGTAACGCTGCTGGAAATAAAGAAGGGGAAATAACTGCTTTCCACATCCGGTACCCGATGATCCCGCCCCTCCCCAAAAGGATCCCGTGGGGTAGAGCTACCAAACGTAGGGTGCTTCAAGTGTTGTTAGACCACCTTCCACCATCCTAGACCAGTTGTCATGCTGGATTGGAACTGGACTCCCAACAGTGTCCAGAAGGCCACTGATTCTGCACCTTGCCATACGTGATGCCGAACACACAGGCAAACACAGCGCCCACTCTCACCCTGCATGTCATGACAGGCATTTTGCAGATAGAGTGTTATTCTTTAGTATGATCAAGATACAGAATCCAGGTAAATGACAGGGCTGTGTTTTCCCCACATAGGTGAATGATTGCGTAGAAGTCTCTGCTCAAGAACCTTTTACAGATAAATTTATTGCTAACTTTGTGCCTCTGCTTACCACTGTCTTGTGTGCTGTTTTCATTTTTGGAATCTGAGTATATTTTGTGTCTGGTTTTTTGTTTGCTTGTTCATGGGCATTTAAGCACAGATAATGATGAACTTTGATCATAATTCGTGTCAGGGCTGAATGCCTTTCTTTCACTCATGTGAACCTTCCCACTCGGTTATGTAAGGAAACCACAATCTGAGCTGGGAACTTGCAAAATGTGACAGTACGAGCTTTTACAATCTCAGAGGTTGGGAAATCTGCCGCCAAGAGCACAAAAGTTGTCATGGCCAAGATACTTGATTTCCTCGCTGTGCAAAAATACTGCTTGTTGCTCTTGTTGGAGGGTTTACCTGATAATTTGGGCATTTGGACAATATGGGCATTTATCACCAAAACCAGTGATGGCCAAACTTGGCCCTCCAGCTGTTTTGGGACTACAACTCCCATTATCCCTAGCTAACAGGACCAGTGGTCAGGGATGATGGGAATTGTAGTCCCAAAACAGCTGGAGGGCCAAGTTTAGCCATCACTGACCTAAACCTTTGTAACCTGTAAAGAGTGAAGGAGGAGGGATCATTTACTTTTGATAGGTCAGATGAACAGAGCTGTTTAATTATGGTACCTAATTGCAAGTGGGTTCCCGCCCCCTGAAAAGGGGTGTTTCTCTGTTCTCTTCAAGGCCAAACTGGATGTTACATGAAATGTGAAACTTATTTTGATGTTTCTTAATAATAATAATAATAATAATAATAATAATAATAAAACAGCTGCAGGCAGCCCCATCAAGACTGGGACCACGGAAAGGGCAATTGACCCTCTCCCCGATTCCATAGTCCTAATGAAAATTACTGACCTCCCCAAGCTGACGTTGGCATCAGTTTTTAAGCTTAATTGTGCAATTCTTTATCCAAGCGTTGTCTTTTCCCTTGCAAGGACAGACTAGGAAGCTGCAGATTACTTTGCTGCTTCTCTCAATAGCCATCAAGTGTATGTGCTAGGGATGAGAAACCTGTGTCCCTCAAGTTCCCATCATCTCTGACCACAGGTCATGTGGATTGGGGCTGAGGGGTGTTGGAAACTGAGCGTGCCTGGAGGACCGCAGGTTCCCTATAACTGATGTGTGCAGCATTTGCCTTTATTTCACTATTATGGGGGAAAAGGCTCCTGCTGATTTACCCCCGTTGCTGATGGTTGTAGTTCTGATTTCATTCATGTTCATAAGGGTACTAAGAACAGTGTGGAGAACTTGGGAGTTTGTGGCTTGATGCCTTTTGCTTTTTTCTGGAGAAAGCCATTTGGACGAAGGTGACATGATGTTTACGTCACATAGACTCATAGAATTGTAGAGTTGGAAGGGACCACGAGGGTCATAACTCCCCATAACTCCCTTTCCTTCCTTTTGCTCCCATTCTCAATACATGTTCCATGCCTCTAAAAATGTTTCGGATCATTTCTCTCTCTTTCTCTTTGAAATCTTTTTTTTTAAACCAATACGAAGTTATAAAAATCCAAATATATCTCCATATACAGAGATTTCTCCAAATCTCAGGACTCCCCACCCCCTCCACGGAGTCCCATTTTAAACATTTTAAACATTACAAACTCTAACTTTTATGTCAATCCATATTGTCCATGGTAGTTGTTACGCTACAAGTGAAATAAAAATCCTGCCCATGTTTCCATCTGCTTGCAGTGGTCTCCTAGATAACTTACAAATTTCCCCCATTCTTTTGTAAAGTTTTTGTCCTCTTGGTTCCTGAGTTTTCTGGTCAGTTTTGCCATTTCGGCATAGTCCATCAGTTTGGTTTGCCATTCCTCTCTGGTAGGGACCTCGTCTTCTTTCCATCTCTGGGTTAGTAGCATCCGAGCGGCTGTTGTTCCGTACATCAAGAGCCTTTTCTGCTCCTTTGTGGTGTCGGTACCTGTAATTCCTAATAAAAAAGCTTCTGGTTTTTTAACAAAAGTTATACATCACCTTGCCAACAAAGGTCCGTATAGTTAAAGTTATGGTTTTCCCAGTAGTGATGTATGGAAGTGAGAGCTGGAGCATTAAGAAGGCTGATCGCCAAAGAATCGATGCTTTTGAATTATGGTGCTGGAGGAGACTCTTGAGAGTCCCATGGACTGCAAGAAGATCAAACCTATCCAATTCTGAAGGAAATCAGCCCTGAGTGCTCCCTGGAAGGACAGATCCTGAAGCTGAGGCTCCAATACTTTGGCCACCTCATGAGAAGAGAAGACTCCCTGGAAAGGACCCTGATGTTGGGAAAGATGGAGGGCACAAGGAGAAGGGGATGACAGAGGACGAGATGGTTGGACAGTGTTCTCGAAGCTACCAGCATGAGTTTGACCAAACTGCGGGAGGCAGTATAAGACAGGAGTGCCTGGCGAGCTCTGGTCCATGGGGTCACGAAGAGTCGGACACGACTAAACGACTAAACAACAGCAAAATTTTAAACATTTCCCCCCCATTTTGTTATATATCATTTTGGATCATTTCTCGTGCCAAAGGGGGCATGGCAGTCAAGGATCATGGGAAAATGCTGAAAATGATTCTCCCTTCCATCTCCGCTGCCATGCCCCATAGTTAAGGCGGCCTACCCAGCTTGGACTCATGAAAGCTTGGAGGTGACTGAGGAACAACTCACCCCTCTATGCTTTCTGTCATGAGGAATGCCAACAGGCTGAGCATTAGTGCAAGCAAAAGGCCTGAATGCTTGTGGAGGGTATGTCATTCCAGCAGTGCAAAGCTGGCTTGGAAGAGGAAGGGCACAGCTCCCCGCTTCCCAAAATGCGTTGACCATTGTTTACCGCAGCAGTGAAGAAAGCAGAGCGTGTCCTCCAAAATTAGTGCAGTTCCTGCAGGCTTGCAACAGCAGGCACGTTTACGGTGCAGAAACTGCATTGCCGACGTTGATGAGCCCTCTGTGTATCCCGTGCTGGCTGCACGTTGAATTTTGAAATATTCCCTTTAGGGCCAACGGCTCATGCAAATGGAATCTCACTCATTTCATAATGGCCTCCCCGGGCAGGTGATGGGGAACGAGATGTTCCTCACTCACAAGCCATCAAAGCATTTGTCACTCTGGCTAGTAAGAAACAGGTGGAAGGTCCTTCCTCACCTGCTGTGGATTGCTGCTCCCGCCATGGGCCGTGGCAACAAAGAGCAACCTCAGAGGTAGCAGGTACGTCTGTACAATACCTTTTTAGTGTCAGCGGTCAATTTTTGATGGGGTGAGGGTCCTGTGGAGGACTGAAGGGAGCAGGTGTGGCGGAAATCCTTCCTAAAGGCTGTGGTGCCTGGGCTTTGGCCAGTGAGGGAGGCACTTAATATGAGGAATAATGATTCGTTGATTTAGTTAGCCTTACTGCGAATCTGAGAAGTATCTCTGACATGTATTTGCTGAACCTTTTACAGTGGTACCTTGGTTCCTGAACGCCGCAAACCCGGAAGTGAGTGTTCCGGTTTGCAAATGTTTTTCGGAAGCTGAACGTCCGACGCGGTTTCCGCTTGAGTGCAGGAAGCTCCCGCAGCCAATCGGAAGCCGCGCCTTGGTTTTCTGAACTGTTTCAGGAGTCAAACAGACTCCCAGAACGGATGAAGTTCAAGAACCGAGGTACTACTGTGTTTAAAAAACCCGAGAGAGGAGATTCCTCTGTTTCACCTGTTTGAGTTCTGAACTGCTCTTTGTCATCAGGAAGTTTTCCTGAAATGTCTTTAATTTTCTGGACCAAAGGCTCAGCCTTTTAAGTTGGGTGTCCTATTCTTCATGCCCTCTGCCACCTACTTATGCTATATTATCATCATCATCATCATTAGGTTTGCAGCAGCATTCCATGATCTCATTCAGAGGTCTGTTGCAAATTTTGGGGACTGAATTTGGGATCTCAGACACTCAAAACTTGCTTCCTTTGAATCCCGTTATAAACCCTCTGGAATCCACATGTTGGCATCCGTCTGTCTCGGGAGACAATGGGAGAGTGTGTCTTGGGGGAGGGCGAAGTCAAACCACTGGAAGGTTATAGCACCTGCTGTAGCTGTAGACAGCAATAAAGGAGAGACATGTTTTGTTGCAGCTGGGGCACATGAAGGCGTCCAGTTTTGCTGCTGCAGATGCACGATGGCATTTCTTCTTTCTGCGCTCCTCCCAGTGGTCATTCCTCCTCTGGCCACTGCTATGGAAGCATGGCTTGGCTGATGGTCTCCACGCACCGCTGCTGTCTGCAAGGCATCCCACCTGTTGAGACATAATATTTCTACAGAGGGGGTCTTTAGACTTTAAAAAATAGTTCTTTGTATTTATTTTGAACAAGGTCTTCAGATTTCTAGAGAGCTAGTGGGTGGGACTCCCTGCTTGCCTGCCTGTCTCTTTCTCTTTGCATAGGATGGGCAGGATCTGAAAGGGAGAAAACCACATGGTGCTCACCCATCAGGTGACTTTGTAAAGCTTTCTCAGCTTCTTCAGAAATAATCACCATAGACATTCCAAGCTTACAGATATTTCATTTGCCAGCATCCCCGATAAAGACCCCAAATGTGGGTACACGGCACCAGTCAGTTGGGGAGGAAAAGTCTCATCATTCACGTTGCACGGAACAAAGTGTTTACGTCCCAGAGATGAATAACTTCTAAGTTTCCAGGTTCCGACTTAGTCACTATGTGACTTGTCTATTGTTGCTTATAACCTTGCGTCTCATGACGATGACTTGGAGTCTGTCAACTGCTCACAGCCGCCTTTTGTCTTAAAAGAAAGGAGCGATCTGACCGACTCTGGGATGTGCAGTTTCAGATTTCTGGAGAATACCAGTGGCTTCTGGATTTAGCAGCCTGCTTTAACATAGATGTGGCTCCCTCATGGATAATATCACGGTGAGTGGGTGGAATGCCAAATTATATCCTTGCACAACTGTGTCTCCATGTCAAAACTGTGCCTACATAGCACACTTTATACTGTATGTGCTTTTTTTTTTTTTTTTTTTGGAGTATGCTGTATATATATCTTCTAGTTGTTTAAGAGTTTGTTCATTTTTTAAGCTGCTTGAATGAAGTGGGTTTGTGCATTGAGGATTCTGTTCTTGAGACCAGGGGTTTCAAACAATTGTGTGCCCTTGATTTTATCCCAGCTGCTCTAATGTACACGAGAAAGATTTGAACCAGCCCCTGTGCTCTGTGTGTTGCGTTTCGATGCATATTTACTAAGAGCAGCTGAGAGAACTTAAATCTGTGTGAGCTTTATGTTCCGCAGCTGCAAAATGCCTTCCTTCGGCAAGATTCCACACTGCCTCCCCCTTTGCCACACAAACCCCGTCTTTTCTTCCAGTGTTTGTTTGTGAAGAGACTTTTGGGAACGGTGCCTCTGAGCGGTCACACACTCTGGCGTTCAGCCCGGTGTTTTTCAGGAGCAGAAACATTTCTAGTCAGCAGCCACCCAGCTTTTCTGTTATGGGAAGTAGTGAGGCAACGGTCATCAACCCCTTGTTTGTCAGGAGCAGCAGTGAAGGCTCTGTGTGCCGACGGCAAGCGGTGGCCGTGGTGGGATCCTGTCAACAAGCCCCTTGTATGTACAGTCATACCTCGGGTTACAGGTGCTTCAGGTTGTGTTTTTTTCAGGTACAGACCCACTGAAACCTGGAAGCACCGGAACGGGTTATTTCCGGGTTTCGGGGGTCGCGCATGTGCAGAAGCGCTAAATCGCGCTTTGCACATGCACAGAAGCACTGTATCACAACCTGCGCGTGTGCAGACACCTCCGTGTGGGTTGCGAACGTGCATCCCGCACGGATCACGTTCGCAACCTGAGCGTCCACTGTACACTGGTACCTCGGGTTACATACGCTTCAGGTTACAGACTCCGCTAACCCAGAAATAGTACCTTGGGTTAAGAACTTTGCTTCAGGATGAGAACAGAAATCGTGCTCCGGCGGCGCTAAAGTGGTGCTTCAGGTTAAGAACAGTTTCAAGTTAAGACGGACCTCCGGAACGAATTAAGTTCTTAACCTGAGGTACCATTGTATATGTCTGTATGTGTAAACATGGGATGTAAGAGTGCCCCACACTGTGCCGCAAGGAGATAGGATAATAATATAAGGATGGAATAAGAAATACAGTGAATAACACAACAATAACAAAAATAATAGTAGGTAAAGAAGATCGCACATGGGTGGAGGGAAGTACTGGGCTGTTGGGGAGGGAGGTGAAGGGATTAATTGAAATTGTTAAAGATTGGCATAGGATTTAAGAGATTTATAAAGATTCTATAAGGAAAGCAGCAAGCAGCGAGAAATATCAAGTAAAGATATGGGAGAGGAGATCAGTGTAAATGAAAACATGAGACTTATGGTTTTGTTACATATGATTTTATTTTGGAGTTGTCTGTTTATTTTAGAGTTGTTTGTTGTAAAGAATGTACAGTGGTACCTCGGGTTAAGTACTTAATTTGTTCCGGAGGTCCGTTCTTAACCTGAAACTGTTCTTAACCTGAAGCACCACTTTAGCTAATGGGGCCTCCTGCTGCTGCCGCGCCGCCGGAGCACGATTTCTGTTCTCATCCTGAAGTAAATTTCTTAACCTGGAGCACTATTTCTGGGTTAGTGGAGTCTGTAACCTAAAGTGTATGTAACCTGAAGCATCTGTAACCCAAGGTACCACTGTATATTATGTGAATAAAATAATAAAGGATTGGAGGGGGGGGGTGGAGAAAAAGAAAAAAAAGAAAGTGGGCTCCAGACCCCATTCTGAAACCCAAATTCACACAGAGCCAGTGTTCAAAATTCGCCAGGCGCATTTTGCACCTGCCTACTGGCCACTTGCAACCAAGTAAAGATGCCCAGGCGTCAGAATGGCTCATGACGTCTCCACCATCTGGAGGTGCGTACCTGGGGGTCCTTGGATCTTGACTGTTTTCGCACACTAGCAACACATTCTGCAGAATTCCACCTGTTATATTTTGTCTGCACAATCAGAATGAATCTGAGGAACCAAAAAGTCATATTGAAAAATAGGACTTTTGTGCTGTCTGTCTGGCCCCAAAATGGCGACTCGATATTCCATTTTGGCAACTGTAACCCTGGTTTAAGGGGCCATTTGGTACCTAGCTTATATATCTGAGTTTCTAAAACTGCAAGGAGCCTGATAGTTATTTAGTGAGGAGAAAGCACACACTTCTCATCACTTGGTGTGAGGGCGATCTGGCTGCGACATCTGTCACCCCATTGATCGCCAGGGTTGATTCGGCTGATCTGGCTGGCTAGGCGGGTGTCCCCTTCCTCCCTCACTGCTCCATGTGCATCCCTCCCGAAGCTGCGCGTTCGGTGGAAGAGGACGACCATCCCAGATAGAAGGAGTGTACCGTTCTTCGGTCAAGGGTATACGATAGCTTGGTGTGTTCCAAGGCTGAACCATGGAATTGAGAACAGGGTTTTTGTGTGTTTGGATGTTTTTAGTTGCCATTTATCGGACTTGCGCTGTCTGTGTGGCCCTGGGTTCTCCTGGCTAGAAAGGACTGTAAAGCTAAATAACTGTCCAGCTAAGCCACTGAAAGCAGCAAAGGAAAGTGTCCCAGAGACACATGGAGCAGTGCAACTTTGAAATCTTGGCCTGTGCACAAGATTGTACTGCGATCAGAAATGCTTTTGCTGTTGCACTTTAGGTTGCCTTCAAAGCAAAAGCATTTCAGAACACGGCATAACCTTGTGCACAGGCCAAGATTTCAAAGTTGTCCAGCCTGCTCCATGTGTCTCTGGGACACTTTCCTTGCTCCAGATGAGTGGAGGTGGCATATATCAGCTGGGAGAAGATGCTTTGTGCATGCTCAGAGACACACTTGTGCCATGATTTCCTGCACTGGAGTCAAAGCCCGGTGTTTAAAATAGGCTATGGGGCTGCCACAGCATGCATGTCCCAGAATCTGTGTGAAAATGGTTGTAAGGAGTTGCTTTCTTTCCACAATGGCCTGTCTCCCCCAGTACCACCTGGTCTGACAATCAGTGGATTTCCAAGGTGTCATGCGGGGAGTTTCACAGCCCTACTAAAAATTCTGGGCTCCCTATTCATACAAATATGTGTCCTGCTATTGGGCTATGGCCCTAACTCTGAAAAATCCAGGTCTCTTGGCCAGCTAAGAAACTTGCAATGTTATATAATCATAATAATAATAACATATTATTTATACCCCGCCCATCTGGCTGGGTTTCCCCAGCCACTCTGGGCGGCTTCCAACAAAATATTAAAATACAATAGTCCGTCAAACATCAAAAGCTTCCCTAAACAGGGCTGCCTTCAGATGTCTTCTAAAAGTCTGGTAGTTGTTCTTTGACATCTGGCGGGAGGGCGTTCCACAGGGCGGGTGGCACTACCGAGAAGGTCTGGTTCCCTGTAACTTGGCTTCTCGCAGCGAGGGAACCGCCAGAAGGCCCTCGGAGCTGGACCTCAGTGTCCGAGCGGAACAATGGCGGTGGAGACGCTCCTTCAGGTATACTGGGTCGAGGCCTTTAAAGGCTTTAAAGGTCAGCACCAACACTTTGAACTGTGCTCGGAAACGTACTGGGAGCCAATGTAGGTCTTTCAGGATTGGTGTTATGTGGTCTCAGCGGCCGCTCCCAGTCACCAGTCTAGGTGCCGCATTCTGGATTAGTTGTAGTTTCACCTTCAAAGGTAGCCCCATGTGTAGAGCGCATTGCAGTAGTCCAAGCGAGAGATAACCAGAGCATGCATCACTCTGGTGAGACAGTCTGCTGGCAGGTATGGTCTCAGCCTGTGTACCAGATGGAGCTGGTAGACAGCTGCCCTGGACACAAAATTGACCTGCCCCTCCATGGACAGCTGCGAGCCCAAAATGACTCCCAGGCTGCGCACCTGGTCCTTCATGGGCACAGTTACCCCATTCAGGACCAGGGAGTCCCCCACAACCGCCGGCCCCTTGCCCCCAAAAAACAGTACTTCTGTCTTGTCAGGATTAAACCTCAATCAGTTAGCCTCCATCCATCCTCCAACCGCCTGTTATTTAGACATGGGGGAATGTGATTCCAACATGGCAATCCAGGGTATGGATGAGGCAGAGGTGTTCATCTGGGAATCTGGGGATGCCTCCACCTCTCTCAGTTTTCCACAGGAAGAAATACAAGTCAGTGCAAATGACGGGAGGAGTTGGGGGCTTGTTTTTGTCTCCCTGGACTACATGTCAGATAAATATGTAGACCAGAGGTTAAGAGAGCTGTGGCTTCGTGGTTGCTGTGCTTAGCTTTTAAAATTGCAGCGTTCAGAGTTCAGCAGGTCTTGTGACAAGCCTAGCGCGGAGGCAAGGGGCTTACATTCTTGCCACCCGCCCCGTCTCCCCAGGCAGCTTTTGTCCGTGACTGTCCTCTCTCTGTTTGGACTCGGTTGGTCCTGCCCAGGCTGTCTGCAAACTCCTTGAGGAGCAGGTTGGTGTTTGTGCATCTGCTTTGTCAGTTTGGGGATAGATTAATAGCCATGAAGCCCAGTTGCTTCCATCCTGGCTGGCGTTGCTGGTAAAGGGGCTTACTAGGAAGCAGAACGGAGACTACTAATACAATATTGAGCACTTTGCCATGTTCCTCTGCGGGTGGATGGTTGTGGACCATTCTGCTCAAGTTTCTCTTGTGAAGTCTTTTTAAAAAATTATTATTGATTTGATTTTAAAAAGTATAAACAAAAAACAATTCAGAATCCAAATATCAAGATTACTCTGAATCTCCTGACTTCCCCCGATCTCTTCCATGGGTCGTAATGATAATATTTACAACTGCATATCAATGCTTATCCAAATTTTTATCCTTCTAAATTATCCATACTTTCCGTTACTTTACAAGTGAGTTTAAAATCCTGCTAATATTTTAACCTGCTTACAGTGGTCTTAGAAGTAAATTATAAACTTCTCCCATTCTTTTTTAAAGTTCTTGTCTTCTTGATTTCTGAGCTTCCTAGTTAATTTTGCCATGTCGGCAGAGTCCATCAACTTGGTTTGCCATTCTTCTCTAGTCGGGGTTGTCTCTTCCTTCCATCTTTGTCTCTTCTGAAGGCTTAGCGGAAAGGGGCTGCTCAACCTAGGACCCGGCCGAATGATCGTGTGGCTCTGAGAAGGAATTTGGTCCCTGTGGTCCGACTGCCTGCTGTTCTGATGGAATGAGTTGCATGCGGCTTGGCTCGCTTGCTTGAGCCGCCTAGCAGTTTTGCTCAGTTAGCTCCTTTCTGCAGCTCACCTGCTCTCCATATCTGGTGTTACGGGCTCTTCTGGGTTGTGTAGCCTGATCTTTTGAGTGGGTAGGGGGAAGTTCTGGGTGGGCGGTGCTGCTTCCCCGCAGGGGCTTCAGCTGAATGGCCTTTTGGTTGCTTCCGGGTCTGTGATTCTAGATCAGACATACGGCCCAAAGAAGGTGGTGGACTCTCCTCCATTGGAGGTTTTTAAGCAAAGGCTGGGCGGCCATCTGTCATGGATGCTTTAGCTGAGATTCCTGTGTTGCCCGGGGTTGGACTAGATGACCCTCAGGGTCCCCTCCAGCTCTACAGTTCTATGATTCTAGGAGCCTGCCATGAGCTGAGCTCCCTGAGCCTGTAGAAGAAGCAAGAGGGGCCCAGGTTCCCTGGCATAATTCGAGGGGGGAACTGGGCTCTGGGAACTTGTCTCACAACTTTAGAGGGGGGTGTTTCGCACTCATGGCCAGGTCCCTGGCTGCTGGGTCCCCCAGATACTGATGGGAGTTGTAGCATCTGGAGAGCACCAGGTTGGAGGAAGGCTGTACGAGTTGGCCTCTGGTCTCCAACTCTGCTCATGTGACTGTTATGTGGTGGGTATTCCAGACTAATTGTGCTGGTCCCGAGGGTTAACTGTGCGGCGAGGTCCGAGTCCAGTCCGAGGTCGAGGGTGCGGTATGGAGGCTGTCTGTCAAAGCTGAAGCGGGGTCCAAGGCAGGCAGTCGGGTGAGGTCAGGAACTCTGGCAGAATAGCAGGACAGGGTGCAGGCAGGAACAGGCTACCAACAATGTTGCTCCTGGAACCTGGGACTGGCCAGCTTTTATCTGCCCCGAGGCATAGGACGGCCCCGATCCTCTGGTGACTCGCCTCTCCTGGCCTGGAGGCGAGCACTCCTCCTGTGGGAACTTAGTTCCCTCCGCCTCTCTGCCCTGAGCCTCTGCAGCTCAGGAGAGGCTGGAGGGTTACCGGACCCAGAGGCAACCTCAGCTTCCTCTGACGGGGCTGAGAGTGGAGCACCTGCAGGCAATGGGTCCTCCATCACCTCAGGAGCCAGAGCAGACTCAGCTGGTGCCTGCACAGGTGAGGACCCTTCAGGCTCATGCCCCAGCCCCGGCTCAGCTGGTTCTGGAGGCGGGGACTCCTGGTCAGGCTGGGATCCCTCAGGTTCAGCCTCTTGAGTCCGAATCCCAGGCCATCACACTAATAAGCACAGAGGTCAAGCTAGTGGACTTGTTCACGTGGTGTTTGACTTTCTTCCTGTTTGCTTTTCCTCAGGTTACCATGTGATTCCAGAACTGGGCAGAAGCAGCAATAGATATGCATTCCAACCACAAAGCTGAGAATGGATGCCAGCCCCGAGAAGTTACCCAGGTAAATAATTACAGCCGAGCTGGCCTGTGGAGGTGAGACTTCACTGGCCATAGGGGTGTCAAGTGGCTGTGAAACATTTCCAGGCCTTTCCAGAGGAAGGGGCTGAGCATCACTTGGAAGTGGCGGCTGGATGCATGAACAGGCATCTCGTGATTTTGTTCCATGGAGAGAAGGCACTGCTTTCGACAGCCATTGATGGTGGCAGCCAAGCTCAGCCCTTCTTGAGTCATACATGATGCTGCGTGGAAACCTGCTATGAGATTCATTCTGGACATGGAACATTCCCTCCCCTCCCCAGAATCATAGAATTGTAGAGCTGGGACCCCAAGAGTCATCTATTCCAACCCTCTTCAAACCCACAATCCTGAGATCAAGAGTCTCATTCTCCACCAACTGAGCTACCCTAGGACACTGGCGTTTTTGACCATTGCCAACATTTCTATAATTTCTCTCTCCCTCACACATCCCATCCCCTAATTTCTTCTCCAACCTAAGCCTACTCAGTTCCTTCAATTACTTTTCTTCTAAACAGATGCCCATTTCTTCTTTTTAAAATCCTCAAGGCCAATTCAAGATTATTGTAGGCCAATCCAGTATGAGATCGCAAACAGAGGAGGATTAATTTCAACCAAAAACTCCAAAGTGCAGTCATTGAGATATACAAATGGAAGAAGCAGTTGGTGTTTACCAGCAAGCTTAAATAAAACAGGCAACAACAACAGCAGCCTGGAGAAATTTATGTCAAGTTGTGTAAAAATATTCTTTTTCTGTTGGCACCATATTTTTTGTCATGATTCAATAACAGGAAGCAAATCTTTATAAAAACCTAAAAGCACAGAAAAGGTCTACAACAACTTGGATAGAAAATTACGTGTAGGGTTCTCAGCCCATGGGCAGTATAGTAAATAATATACAAATAATCTCCTCCTCTGACCATCCTCTTTTGCCATTGGGGAAGGCAGATGGCATAGTTGGAAAATGTAGATCTTGTAAGTATTGCTGTTGGGCATGATCAAGATGACAACACCAGAAGGAAAATGTTAACAGGTAATTTCAGTATCAAGTTGTGATATCTCCTTAATCATAGAATTGTGGAGTTGGAATGGACCCTGAGGATCATCTAGTCCAACCCCCTGCAATGCAGGAATATGCAGCTGTCCCATACGGGGATCGAACCTGCAACCTTGGCATCACCAGCACCATGTTGTAACCTACTGAGCTATAATCAGTGCCATTGCTTCAGGGGCACTGATAGTCTCACATTTATTGCTCCATCTACAATCTGTTTGTTGTTCAAACAGACATAGTTTGTTGTTCTTTAGTCATTTAGTCGTGTCCGACTCTTCGTGACCCCATGGACCAGAGCACGCCAGGCACTTCTGTCTACCACTGCCTCCCGCAGTTTGGTCAAACTCATGCTGGTAGCTTCGAGAACACTATCCAACCATCTCGTCCTCTGTCGTCCCCTTCTCCTTGTGCCTTTCCCAACATCTTTCCCAACATCAGGGTCTTTTCCAGGGAGTGTTCTCTTCTCATGAGGTGGCCAAAGTATTGGAGCCTCAGCTTCAGGATCTATCCTTCCAGTGAGCACTCAGGGCTGATTTCCTTCAGAATGGAGAGGTTTGATCTTCTTGCAGTCCATGAGACTCTCAAGAGTCTCCTCCAGCACCATAATTCAAAAGCATCAATTCTTCGGCGATCAGCTTTCTTTATGGTCCAGCTTTCACTTCCATACATCACTAAGACATAGTTTAGGTAACTTGAATCTGATCATATGACTAGGTCTGAAATAGTACATAAGTTTTTATAGGCCTTAGCTTCACAATCCTTCTCAACCTTTCGGATCTTAACATAGTGCACTCCAGTTGAGGCCTTCCTGCTGTCCTCAACATTTTAGCAATATCCTTGGGGAGGAGGGCTTTCTTCCATCTTGGCCGTAACCTAATACAGCCTCTGTTTGATGTTACCCTAGTTGATCAAGACACACCTGGTGAACTCCATCAAAGCGCTGCAGAAACATTACGTGACTTCCGACGCCCTCGTGACCAGTGACGATGGAGATGCCAACACCCTCTGCTGCGCCCTCGAAGCAGTGTTTGTGCACGGCTTGAAGGCCAAGCACATCAAGGCAGAATCAGGAGCGAAAGGGAGGAAATTTGCCGGGCGCCTGCCCCTTCCCCAACCAGCCTTTTGGGCCCTGCTGAAAACTATCACACACAGGTGAGGTGGGGAAGACAGCCGCTGTGAGGGTGGAGATTGCAGCCATCAGCAAAATTTGCTGATATTACATGCTTGAACATTGCTGGGTGTGGAGTGGGGGCATTTGCGAGATGCAAATGTGAGATTTCTGCTTACGGTGGTTAACCGAAGTTCAAGGGGATATGGCTGATGGAGGGACTTCTCATCTCTTCTTGCTAAAGTCCTGCTAGGAATTTAGGCGGATATAGGCAAAAACTCCTGCCAACCTAGCAGTTAGAAAGCAAGTCCAAGTGCAAGTAGATAAATAGGTACCGCTCTGGCGGGAAGGTAAACGGCGTTTCCATGTGCTGCTCTGATGTCGCCAGAAGCGGCTTAGTCATGCTGGCCACATGACCTGGAAGCTGTACGCCAGCTCCCTCGGCCAGTAAAGCGAGATGAGCGCCGCAACCCCAGAGTCGGCCACGACTGGACCGAATGGTCAGGGGTGCCTTTACCTTTACCTTTATAGGCAAAAAAAGTCAGGGGCTGGCTGGACAATGAGGAGTGGCCGGGGATCCCTGTCAGAGAACCTCAAAGGGAGGAGCCTCAGAAGAGGAAGGCTTTGGGTTGGGGTGGGACAATGAAGACAGGTCAGAGGAGGAATGGGGGAATAAAAAAACTTCTTGTTTTTTAACAAACCCTTCCCCACTTTCCAAGGTCCTTCAGAGCTCCCCCCCTTCCCCCTCCCCTTTTATGAAGATCACCTGCTCTGAGACCCCACAGCTAATTCTCCCCTGGCCTCTTTGCTGGCCCAATAATAATAATAATAATTATTTATACCCCGCCCATCTGTCTGAGTTTCCCCAGCCACTCTGGGCGGCTCCCAATCAAATGTTAAAAACAGTACAGCATTAAATATTAAAAACTTCCCTGAAAAACTTGCCTTCAGATGTCTTTTAAAGATAGGATAGCTGATTATTTCCTTCACATCTGAAGGGAGGGTGTTCCACAGGGTGGGTGCCACTACCTAGAAGGCCCTCTGTCTGGTTCCCTGTAACCTCATTTCTCGCAATGAGGGAACCGCCAGAAGGCCCTCGACGCTGGACCTCAGTGTCTGGGCTGAACGATGGGGGTGGAGACGCTCCTTCAGGTATACAGGACCGAGGCCGTTTAGGGCTTTAAAGGTCAGCACCAACACTTTGAATTGTGCTCGGAAACGTACTGGAAGCCAATGCAGATCTATCAGGACTGGTGTTATGTGGGATCAAGTAGGATCAATTAAGCCCTGGGGATTATCTAATTGATTTTTGATTTTTGAATTTTATTGTTATTCATATTTTATACTGTATTTTATGCTGCTTTTATAATTGTTTTAAAGTGTTTTAAATTTGTTGTTAGCTGCCCTGAGCCCGGTTTTTGAACTGGGAAGGGCAGGATATAAATTATTATTATTATTATTATTATTATTATTATTATTAGAGCTGCAGCATTAATGGGCCTTGTGCTCTCTCCCCCTTTCCTGCTCCTCTCTTTACTTTTCTCCAGAAACATCATTTCTGAGCTGGAGCACCTGGACTTCATCAACACAGACGTGGGCCGCTGCCGTGCTTGGCTAAGGCTGGCGCTGAATGACGGCTTGATGGAATGCTACCTGAAGCTCTTGCTCCACGAGAAAGCCCACCTCTCTGAGTATTACCATTCGCCAGCCCTGCTACTGGACACCGAGGAGGTTGAGTTCCTTCTCACTTACCTGCAGGGCTTGTCCTCCCTGGCCTTTGACCTCTCCTACAAGTCGGCAGTTTTGAACGAATGGACGGTCACCCCTTTATCCCTCTCGGGACTTTGCCCAGCCTCAGAGCTGCTTGTGAGTTTGGAGCCCCGGAGGAAAGAATCGCTGGGCTCCCTCTCGCTGTCTTCTGGCTCGGATGACGCTGAGGCTTCCCCAGCCCTCTTGCCCGCCGCTAAAAGCCAACGGGCAGAGAAACTCACCGCATCCAACCTGAGCATCAGCACAACAGGTTCCTCACAGCTGTCTTCCAGCCTCGGCTCCGACGGCCTTACCCCGGGGACATCTGCTGCCACGCAGAACGCGGACGGGGGTGAGGAGCCCATCTCGGATGATGCTGACCCTGGCGTGGCAACAGCAAAAGACTTGGACCAGTCTCTCCAAGAGTGAGTATGCGGAGGAAAGGGGAAGACCTTATTATTATTATTTTTTAACAATAATATTTATTAAATTTCATCAACAGACATAACAAAAAAGAAAATATACAACAACACAATAGAAAAGTGAAAAAGAAGGGGGGGAAAGTAACAAACTTAAGATACCTAAACAGGAAAAAAAGGAAACTCAATTAATTCATTAAAATGCATTTTCATAAACATTTTGGTTGACTTCCTCTAATCTCCTCCATCTGAATTTCCTCTTAATTTGAATGTAGCAGTTTCCAATATCATTATTTCATAAAACAATATTACAGTCGCATTCCAATTTCTTTACCTTTCTTATAATACATTTTCTTATTTATATATTTGAATCTAATTTAATCCTAGGCCTGATTGGTTCTTTCAAGTGATTACATATCTTTAATATTAGAATATTTGTTCAAATAGTCTTTAAATTTCTTCCAATCTTCTTGGTATTCCTCTTCCTGCTGGTCGCGGATTCTCCCGGTGAGATCAGCCAGCTCCATAAATTCCATCATCTTCATCTGCCATTCTTCTACCGTTGGTAATTCTTGTGTTTTCCATTTTCTGGCTAGTGAAATCCTAGCTGCTGTTGTGGCATACAAAAATACTAGGGGAAGACCTTATTAGAGCTTGTCAGATGGCAAAGGTGGTCGCTCACGAGTAACCAGGCAGGACTCTTTACAGGTTTTATTTAGGTGCAAAATTATTTACAGTGCAGAACCCCAAAGTTCATGTCTGCCTCAATTGCTAGCAGAATCCAGGAGTGCTTGTTTCCTCCCCCAACATAAAAGTCTCGCTACGCCCAGCCTTTTCCTTCCCTCTTTGCGCTTTAGACTTCTGCGCAGGGTGGGCAATGGAAGGGGCATGCTTCCCTCCGGGCTGGCTTGGCCAGGAGTGGGGCTGAGGCTCCCACCAGCATCCTCTGATCCTTTCATCTCTTCCCCACTAGAGGTGGGGCTTTCCTCCTCACCGGAAGAGGAACTGCTTTGCAAGATTTTCGGAGGCTCCCTGTAACACAACTGCCCCTCTGTTTCCAGCCCCTGCTCTGATGGCAGTTCCCTGACAGAGCTGGTAAATTGTGTTCAGATCCTGATACCAGTCTGAGCTAGCCAATGCATCACGGTGGGCAGGGACCCGTGATGTATTCCCAGCTCAAATTGCCGGCAGGCAGGCAGGCAGGCGGATGGAGCCTGAGAAAGTTTTGGGCAAGCATGTTCTTGGATACATTCCAGACATCATGATATATCAGCATATCACACTATTCAGCTGGTGATATATCACGATGGGGATGCGGGTGGCACTGTGGTCTAAACCACTGAGCCTCTTCGGCTTGCTGATCAGAAAGTCGGTGGTTCGAATCCCTGTGACAGAGTGAGTTCCCGTTGCTCTGTCCCAGCTTCTGCCAACCTAGCAGTTCGAAAGCACACCGGTGCAAGTAGATAAATAGGTACCGCTGTGGCAAGAAGGTCAACAGGGTTTCCGTGAGCTCTGATTTCCGTCACGGTGTTCTGTTGCGCCAGAAGCGGTTTAGCCATGCTGGCCGCATGACCCGGAAAGCTGCCTGTGGACAAACGCCGGCTCCCTTGGCCTGAAAGTGAGATGAGCGCTGCAACCCCAGAGTCTCCCTTGACTGGACTTAACCGTCCAGGGGTCCTTTACCTTTTTTTTTACCTTTATACAGTGGTACCTCAGGTTAAGAACTTAATTCGTTCTGGAGGTCTGTTCTTAACCTGAAACTGTTCTTAACCTGAAGCACCACTTTAGCTAATGGGGCCTCCTGCTGTTGCCACGCCGCCGGAGCATGATTTCTGTTCTCATCCTGAAGCAAAGTTCTTAACCCAAAGTACTATTTCTGGGTTAGCGGAGTCTGTAACCTGAAGCGTATGTAACCCGAGATACCACTGTATAACGATATTGAAAACCAGATTTCTCCTAGACCTTATCATATCTTACTTTGGCAATGAGTTTATTTTATTTTTTCCTAATCTTTGATCTTGGTGTACCTGGGAAGTTCCAGGTGGATAGCAACCTGTTATTAAAATCATGCATGGAAGCCTTATATTTGGCAGGCTGAATTAATGTATGGAAACCAGCCTTCTTCCCCTACCTAACAGAAAGTTGCTCTGATATCGTTAGACCTCTTTGTCAGGCATTTCTTGCCCCTTTGAGTATATATGAGGTGTCCCCAACTCCCCCAATAAACATATTTTCCACTTCCAGTGTTCAACTCTCTGCTTGGAATGTTCCATGACATCACAGCAGCGCAGCCAATGGCTAAGGGGCTTGCCCACAGCTGGCATGCGATGTCTGGTTTTGAATCTGTTACATGATATTTCTACCAGGTTGAGTGGTCAGAGTTTCTTTCTTTTTGCTTTATTAAATTTATAGGCTGCCCTTCATCCAAGGATCGCAGGGCGGTTTGCAGTATTATGTGTAGCCCAGTCCAGATCACAAATGTGACTGATCTGAGAACTTGATCACGCACTTCCACAGCCGATAGAGAGGCACTTTCTCAGCCTCAAATAATACTCTCAGATTGAAAACAGCAAAAGCGCTAATTGAGGATAGTTGCTTCTGAGTAGCATAGTAAGGTTTATTACAGAAAAGGTGCTGCCGAGCAGATCACAGAAGCTAAAGTCATTATCTTTTAAGCCCAGTACCCTGATCTAAGCTGCAATCCTAAAAACACACCTGGGAATAAACCCCACTGTGTTTTTTCAAATAAATAAGCACGCCTAGGATTGCACTGCTAATAAAAAAAAAACCCAGAGAGACAGAACATTATGGTACCACACAATCACCATTCACCTTGGTGAGCCAAAGAAAGACATTAAAGACACTCTATTAAATGACTCATATATGTGGTGTGAAGCTAAGATCCCGAAGGAAGCTGTGGATCCCAGAGGAAATCACCCATAACTGACACATATGCAATGTATGGATGCTCATATTTTTTAGCTGTAGCTTTCCCAACACGACCTCCTCTACCCTCTTGAGCTTTTTGAGCTCAGCAGATAATTCCCAGTATTGAAGGAAGAGCCACGCTAGCTTTCCATTTTGACATTTATTGGTGTTAAGCAAATACTGCAATAGGTATTGTGCCTGAAACTACCTTTTAAGCCAGCTTCCAGGTCCACAACAACCTTTTGTATGAGATGAGGAAGCTGTGGCTGGGGGTGGCTGGCTGGCTTGCCCAACAAAATTTGTGGCTAAGGAAGAATTTGAACTCGTGTCTGAGTCACAACATACTCCCCTCCGTCTCACTTTCTGTATAACGATCCACTCCATTCTCAAAAGGGAGTGCTAAACCACAAAAAAAGCAAATTCCTTTGCATTAATCTTATTATCCAACTCAGTGCATAGAACTAACACATTTATATACATGTGCTAAAATTCCTTATTTCAGGCTAAAATTGGTGTCTTAGCAGATAAGGAGCCTGGAGACCATTTGATGTCCAAAGGGGGTTACTGAATGCCTTGCCTCTGTTGGCATAGCACAGAGTTTCCCAAACTTTGGATCGCTAGCTGTTTTTGGACTACAACTCCCATCGTCCCTAGCTGACAGGACCAATGGTCAGGGATGATGGGAGTTGTAGTCCAAAAGCAGCTGGAGAGAGACCCAAGTTTGGGAAACCCTGTCATAGCACACGGTATAGTGGGAGATGCAATCAAACAGATAACATGCCCCACACACACTCTTTTGAGTTTTGTTTTAAACTTTTGTTTTTCTTTCAAGGGTGCTAGCAGAATTCAGCAGAGCACAGGGAAAGCCGGAATCGACAGAAGCCAAGCAAGTTGACACCCTGTCGACTTCTTCCTCACTGCAGTGCCCCTGTCCCGCCACTGATCTCTGCACCGCACGCCTTCCTTGTCCTGTAACAGCTAAACACCCTGCCAGCATCAAACCTCCTGACGCAGCAGACTCACAGCTTCCAAGTCCAGGTGACCCACCTCAAACCAAGGAAGCAGCTCCCGGTTCCAGGGTCCAGCAAGCGCCTGCGCTGGACACAGCAGACGTTGCTAAAGGAATAGCGGATCCATCCCAAACTCATCGTAGCCTCAAGAGAGGAGGGGCTAAATATAGGATCAGTCAAGTTGTTGTCCATGAGGAAAGCCACCCAAGGGCAGGACGACTTCTCTCACCAATCTCACCTGTAAGTCATACCTTGCCTCCCCAAATCCTATGAGGTCCTGTTAAAATCTTTACTATTTCGCTCTTGTGAAAAGAAAATTCAGAATGGGATTTCGGTATAGTTCTGGTGGCAAGTGCGAAAGCCCAAATGTTTTGCTCAAAAGCCCAGTGACAGCATGTCTCTGAAGTTGTGTGAATGTGTTTGGTGCACAAGAGGGTTTTTGACTTCTTGGACAAGCTTGGAATTTTAGGAGATCATAGGTAAAGGGTAAAGCGACCCCTGACCATTAGGTCCAGTCGTGACCGACTCTGGGGTTGCGGCGCTCATCTCACTTTATTGGCCGAGGGAGCTGGCGTACAGCTTCCGGGTCATGTGGCCAGCAATGACTAAGCTGCTTCTGGTGAACCAGAGCAGCACACAGAGACGCTGTTTACCTTCCCGCCGGAGTGGTACCTATTTATCTACTTGCACTTTGAGGTGCTTTCGAGCTGCTAGGTTGGCAGGAGCTGGGACCGAGCAACGGGAGCTCACCCCGTCGCGGGGATTCAAACCGCTGACCTTCTGATCGGCAAGTCCTAGGCTCTGTGGTTTAACCCACAGCGCCACCCGCGTCCTGAGTTAGGAGATCATACTATGCTTTTAAAAAGGCCCCCCTGCCCAAATTAGACTGACTAGTCAATCTTGAGTTTTTATTTTCACTACTTATTGAACGATCTCACTGTTCATTCATGATCCTCTGGGAACCTGAGGGGGTGTGGGTAGGCTTAACCTGCTCAAATGTGGCTGTTCGTCTGACGTCAGCCAGCCTCTTGTGACTAATACAAATTATAGGTACAAGAATTAGCAGAGTCTCTCCTGCTCCTCTCAGTGAGTGAGTGGTGTTGACGAAGCAGTTACTCTGCAGGTCAGGAAATGCTTTTCCTTGCAGTTAATTGGGAACTTCCTCTCCCCAATTCCATTTCCTCTTTGTACCGGGTGCCTTCAAAGGAAGCCTCTCCCTCATACCTGGCGGTCAGCCAATCTGTATGTTACACACGCAGCAGGAAGTGATGTCATGCTGCTTGAGTCAACCTGCCCACATACCTGCTCTGCGTTCTGCAGAGGAGAGCCCTTTAAAACCTTAAGGTCCAGCGGTTGAAAGCTTGCTGCACTTAAGACTTAGGATAGGCGTTCCCATAACCAGTCACCGTGGGTCCTGTGTCTACTGTATGGAAATCTGGGAGCCATGGGTTTATATCACATCTCAGCCCGTGACTCATTGCCTTGGTTCCTCATCTATAAAATAGGCGTATTAATCATCTGTCTTGCAAAGCTACTGCCAGGGCAAACAAGGCAGAAATCCCGTGTGGGGCTGAACAAATATTTCAAATTCCTGAATGTATTGCAGATCTCTAGGGGATAATGATGCTTGTCATTTTTCTAGCGATACACAAATTATTAACCATAATGATAATCAAGATTGTTCCTGAACATGGTCTTAACAGTGAGTCTGTAAGTGACTGTGGAGGCCAATTCTGGATATACATGTCATTCCGCAGTGAGGACATAGGTTTCTGGGTGGGAGTTGATCACAGTGAGGGTTTGCCAAGTGTGCCTTCCTCTCAGCTCGTTCCTCCCTTTCGTCCTGAGTTTGAGTGTCTTCAAAGCCTTTGGTAAAGGCTGTTCTCCAATTGGAGCGCTCGTGGGCCAGTGTTTCCCAGTTGTCGGTGTTTATACTACATTTTTTTAGGTTTGCCATGAGAGAGTCTTTAAGCCTCTTTTGTTGACCACCAGCATTACGCTTTCCACTTTTAAGTTCGGAATAGAGTAGTTGCTTTGGAAGATGATAATCAGACATCTGCACAACATGACCAGTCCAACCAAGTTGATGTTGAAGAATCTTTGCTTCAATCATGCCATCCTGTATTTCACTGGGATCAACAACTCAGCCCACATCGACCCTTAAGCCCAACTCCCTGAGCGCTGCACTGTGTTCGGTTTGGAAGAAACTAGTAACCTTTAAACCAATTAAACAATTTTGCACTTAGTAATTTTGCTTTCGGACACACTAATGCCACAGCCAAATCTTACTCCACTTTGTTCAGTGGTGCTTGTTTCTGAATAAGGGTGGATAGGACAGAAGCTTAAACCTTCAAGTAAATTATCTTGCTTAGTATCCTTCATAAGGAGACATATTTGGTTCTGCAATACCAAAAGCTGTGTGAGCGGCATGGCCAGACATTTTGAATTGCGGTTACCTAAGTGTCCTATTTTGTTCGGTCCCAGCTCCTGCCCACCTAGCCGTTCGAAAGCGCATCATGTGCAAGTAGATAAATAGGTATCGCTCCAGCGGGAAGGTAAACGGCGTTTCTGTGCGCTGCTCTGGTTTGCCAGAAGCAGCTTAGTCATGCTGGCCACATGACCCGGAAGCTGTCTGTGGACAAACACCGGCTCCCTCGGCCTATAGAGCGAGATGAGCGCGCAACCCCAGAGTCGTCCGCGGCTGGACCTAGAGGTCAGGGGTCCCTTTACCTTTAAGTGTCTATTTAGTTACAAACCAATATATACGTATCACTAGAGCAATCATTTAGAATGCATGCTTGCTCAAAAAGTATGTGAGCTTTATTTAGATCAAGTTTTATCATTGGTGTCTTTTCTTGATGGTTTAAAATTGACGGTTTCGACCACCTTAATTTAAAACAGGCCACCCTCAGGATAACAACCACCTCTATACAATGTCTCCCACCTTATGGACATCGGGGTGTATATTGACTTGGATCAAGGGGGCTCCATTTAGTCTTAGCCACTGATAAACCTACCCACTCCAAATACTGACCCTGTTCTAAATCCATTGAGGGAGGCTCGTGCAGGTGATGGTTGGGGTCAAAGCCAAAAGTGGGAGAAAACGCCCCACTTTTCTTTCTCTTTTGGAAACCCCTTCTCTCCCCTTTCCTCCGTGTCCAAGCAGGATGTTGGGAGGAAGCTGGACCAGTCTCGTCGGGGGACTGAACTAATTGCTCATAGGAGACTTATTTTCCCTCCTTCAATCTCTTCATTTCTTTTGGTTTTTCATCCTGGTTTCCCCTTGGACTCCCCACACCCTGCTACTTGAAATTACGCCAAGGGACACAGGCCTTCCAGCCCTACTACAGGGCTTGGGCAGGAACTGCGCCACTTCTATAAAGCCCTTAGCGCGGTAAAAACGCTATTTGCTACTTGTTAATTTCCCTGTTGAATAGTCCAGCTGAATTCAGCTCTTTCTGTTCCCCGACAGGAAACAAACTGGATCACCGAGGATGACATTTACCTTCCCTCTCCTCCTCCTGAGGAGACGGGGAAAGGCCTTTCCCGTTCACTCAGTCCCTCGCCAGAGCGCCCTGCCAATAGCCAGCCATCGATACCAAGTGGCGCTCTGGATCAAGACAAGCTTCACTTGACGTCAGCCAAGGCCAGGAAGCCCCAACTGTCCCCCGAGGCGGAATCGAAGGGCTTTAGCGTCGTTCACCGGAGGCAAATGGGTAACGGTCTTTCTCCCATGGGGTGAATGATGGGGCGGGGAGGAGAAAGTGATAGAAGATAAATTTGGGGTTGGCTTTAACAGCCCAACTCCCCATCAAGGGACTTCGTGTCCCCCTAAATCAGAGAAGAACGTGTGGAGGCAGGAACCAGTCGAAGCAAGGCAAATCTTTATATTTTTTCCAGTTGCAGCAGAGTTCCGGCCCTTGTAAGGAGGGGAGGGCCTAGAATAAAAGTGCGTAACAACTTTTAAAGACTTTAGAATTTGCCAGACCCCCTTAGCCAAAGACCACCTACAAGCATCATGCCACTAAGAGGCAGTCTACATTACAACAGAAATTTGAGAGTGTGGCTTGTCTGTCAAGATATCAGATAATGGTCACTGATTGCCTTATACTGGCCAGTCTGGCCATTCTTTCAAAATGGTAAATACCTTAGTTCTTAAATCCATTGTCCCAGACTTCCCTTATTCATGTGATAAGTCTGTTTACAGGGTTTGAAGGATTTTGCAACTGAAAAGAACTATTTCCAAGATCATAGAATCGTCAAGCTGGAAGGGACCCCAAGGGTCATCTATTCCAACCCCCTGCAGTGCAGGACTGATTTGTTGTTGTTTAGTCGTTTAGTCGTGTCCGACTCTTCGTGACCCTATGGACCAGAGCACGCCAGGCACTCCTGTCTTCCACTGCCTCCCGCAGTTTGTTCAAACTCATGCTGGTAGCTTCGAGAACACTGTCCAACCATCTCGTCCTCTATTGTCCCCTTCTCCTTGTGCCCTCCATCTTTCCCAACATCAGGGTCTTTTCCAGGGAGTCTTCTCTTCTCGTGAGGTGGCCAAAGTATTGGAGCCTCAGCTTCAGGATCTGTCCTTCCAGTGAGCACTCAGGGCTGATTTCCTTCAGAGTGGAGAGGTTTGATCTTCTTGCAGTCCATGGGACTCTCAAGAGTCTCCTCCAGCACCATAATTCAAAAGCATCCATTCTTCGGCGATCAGCCTTCTTTATGGTCCAGCTCTCACTTCCATACATCACTACTGGGAAAACCATAGCTTTAACTATATGGACCTTTGTTGGCAAGGTGATGTCTCTGCTTTTTAAGATGCTGTCTAGGTACTTCCATCTATTGCAGAGGAAAATATTTGGAGTCATTAAGAGAGTCAAGATGGCCACGGGATTGCTCCCCTGTACTATTTCAGACATGTGGTTTATGTACTTAACATATGTGTGTTTACCTTGTGCGCTTATGAGCGCTGATTGCGTTTATGTCACCTTAGAATTCTTATGACGAAAGACAAGACAAAACGGTGGTCAGCGGCATCGTTATTTATGACTTCTGAATCACTTTGGCTGGGTCTGTAATACCCTTCTTCTTTTTTATCCTCCACCTCCAGGCCTTTCGAACCCTTTCCGTGGCCTGCTGAAGCTGGGGACCCTGGAGCGGCGAGGAGGCATGGGCATCTGGAAGGAGTTCTTCTGCGAGCTTTCGCCGCTGGAGCTGCGCCTCTTTGTGGACAGCGAGGAGCGGGTGTGCGTGGAGACCTGTTCCCTGCTGAGGTGCGATTGCCTGGGGGCAGCTCACAGCGACGGCCGCTTTGACCTGTCCTTCTCGGGCAAACGGCTTTGCCTCCGAGCCGCCTCTCAAGACGAGGCGGAGGATTGGCTGGACCGGCTGCACGAGGCACTTCAGAAATGTAGGCCTCAGCCGGACGAAGGCTGGGAGACCCTGGAGGGCACCGAAGCAGCGGAGGACCCGGATGCGAACTCTGCCGGTGGTCCGCCCGGCGAGCTTTCGGCCCTCTTGCAATACAACGGGACAGGCAGCAACGGGCTGGACTGGACGTGCGGTTGGGACCCCGAGCTGGATGCGGTCAAGGAGTCTGTTTTGTACCTGGAAACCGAAAAGACGTGGTCCCCTTTTGTGTTCTCCTTGTCCTTAGAAGCCCTGAAGTGCTTCAGGGCCCGGAACGGGGAGAAAACGCTGAGCAACAGCTACGGGATCGAGACCATACAGGACATCCTGCCCGACGTGAGCCTGGGGGGCCCGGCCTTCTTCAAGGTCATCACGTCGAAAGCGGTGCTGAAGCTGAGAGCCGAGAACGCGGAGGAGGCAGCCGACTGGAGGGACTTGGTCCGCCGGATGCTGATGTCGTACCTGGAGACAGCGGAGGAGGCCTTGAGCCTGGGGGGCAACCTGGACGGGAACTCGCAGGCCGTTTTGAAAAGCACCACCAAGGGGAATGGCTTCCTCCTCAAGTACCTGGTTGCCATCCCCACAGAGAAAGGCCTGGACTGCCAGAGCTTCATCTGTGCGGGTAGGTTGGGGAGCGGCAAGGTGGCTGCAACACAGAGCTCGGGGTGGGGAAACAGATACAGTGGTACCTCGGGTTAAGTACCGTATTTTTTGTTCTAAAAGACTTACTTTTTCCCTCCTAAAAAGTAAGGGGAAATGCGTGTGCGTCTTATGGAGTGAATGCAGGCTGCGCAGCTATCACAGAAGCCAGAACAGCAGGAGGGATTGCTGCTTTCACTGCACAGTGATCCCTCTTGCTGTTCTGGCTTCTGAGATTCAGAATATATTTTTTCTTGTTTTCCTCCGCCAAAAACTAGGTGCGTCTTGTGGTCTGGTGTATCTTATAGAGCGAAAAATACAGTACTTAATTCGTTCTGGAGGTCCGTTCTTAACCTGAAACTGTTCTTAACCTGAAGCACCACTTTAGCTAATGGGGCCTCCTGCTGCTGCCGCCGCACTGCCACAGCACGATTTCTGTTCTCATCCTGAAGCAAAGTTCTTAACCCGAGGTACTATTTCTGCGTTAGCGGAGTCTGTAACCTGAAGCGTATGTAACCCGAGGTACCACTATACAGAAGACTCTCAAAATTGCCGAGGGCCAGTTTGTAGCATCCTTGTTGTTGTTTAGTCGTGTCCGACTCTTCGTGACCCCATGGACCAGAGCACGCCAGGCACTCCTGTCTCTGTCCAGGGAGTTTTCTTGGCAGGGATACTGGAGTGGCTTGCCGGTTCCTGCTCCAGGTGGATCACATTTGGTCAAAACTCTCCGCTAGGACCTGTTCATCTTGGGTGGTCCTGCATGGCATAGCTCATAGCTTCTCTGAGTTATTCAAGCCCCTTCACCACGGCAAGGCAGTGATCCATGTAGGGGTAGCATCCTTAGGAACCCTTAGCATAAGAAGAGCCCTGCTAGATCAGGCCGAAGGCTCATTTTATCCAGCAATCTGTTGCCACAGTGGCCAACCAGGTGCCCAGCAGGACCCGAGTGCAACGGCGCTCTCCGATTCTAGCAATTCTAAGCAACTGGTATCCTGAGACATCCTGCCTCTATTTCAGGCTCCGGGGAATTCTCTCCCTCCCCTGGTGGCCGCAAGGAGCAGAGAAAAACAAAAAGTTCTTACTAATGAGTTTATTCAGTCATCGCACCAAGAGACAAGGAATGCAATCTGCCTCCCTTAACGGCGTTGCTCCAACTGAGCTCCTCCCGCCTCCCTTCCTTCCAACAGCACTTTCCCTTACGGTGGCCGCCAAGGGCTAATTGTCTCTGAGTGCTTTGCTCTTGCACCCTCAATGAATGTCGAGTTCTGGGAGAAGGGGGCTCAGAAATAATATCCAGTGATAACGCGTCAGCTGTTCCGCTCTGTCTCTGTCTCCCCTGGCTCTGTCTCCCCCCCTCCCTTCTCCCAACACCTCCCAACTCTTCTGTTGGCCTGTCTCGGAGCTGTAACCTTCCTCAAACCACTGCTGTAATTCAATACAGTCATACCTCGGGTTACAGACACTTCAGGTTGTGTTTTTTTGGGTTACGGACTGCCGAAACCTGGAAGTACCGGAACGGGTTACTTCTGGGTTTCGGCAGTTGCGCATGCGCAGAAGTGCTAAATTGCACTTTGTGCATGCACAGAAGCACTGAATCGCAACCCGCGTGTGCGCAGATGCACCACTGTGGGTTGTGAACGTGCATCCCGCACGGATCACGTTTGCAACCCAAGCGTCCACTGTACTGCCTTCCTCTCCTCTGGAAGCTTCAGGAGAAGGGGCGGGGGGAGATCTCCACCATTCCTCCTCCAACTCGCCCCTTTCAGTCCAGTGCCTGACACTCTGACAGGGGAGATATAACGTAGCTGTTGTGGCTGGCAGCCATTACCATTTCTGCTTTTCTTTCCAGGCTGCTCCAGGCAGATTGGCTTTTCCTTCGTGAAGCCGAAGCTTTGCGCATTCACAGGCCTCTACTATTGTGACAGCTGCCACTGGGATGAAGAGTCCGTGATTCCTTCACGGCTGATTCACAACTGGGATCTCACCAGGCGTCCGGTAAGTCTGGGCGACTTGAGGATAGGGGGCACAGGCCTGGGGTGGCAACAGCCCCGGTGAGGCGGGGGGGGGGGCGTACAGTGCTCCGATTGACTCCTGATGTGGCTCGTGCATTGTTCATTTTGTTATAATAAAAACTGCTTCCTTTCCTTTATGGGGTATTCCGGAGCCCATATAGAGTCCTTAAGTGGGTTCCCTATCGGTAGAAGAAAATAACAGAGGCCAACCAGAGTATATTGAGAAGCAAAGTAGCTACTAAGCCTGATTTTTATTCAAGGAGCTGTTGCAACAGGGTCCCCACTCACCACATGCAGGAGGGAGGAGAACCCTGAAAAATGGTGCGCAAGCCCTTATATAGACTTTTGAAACTGCCCACCCTGTAGCCCACAACCACCCCCCTAAAATATCACACATACATCACAGAAGGAGGCGGTCTACAGCAGAAATCCTGTCTGCCAGGATACCTGATAATGGTCACTGGTTGCATTACCTGGGCAGCCTGGCCATTCTTTTGTGATTGTTAATACTTTAGTTCCTGAATCCAGGTCACAGGTTCACGCTATTCATACACAAAGACTCCCTTTGGACAGGATTTGCAAGCAAAAAGGCAATGGGAAGGCTTTCCCCATTTGCCTCCCTTACTGCAGAGGAATATTTGAGATCATTGGGAGAGTCAAAATGGTTTCAGGATTGCTCTTCCGTACTATTTCAGACACATGGTTCATACATTCAGATATGTGTGCATTTATGAATTTGAGACCTTAAAATTCTTATAACAGTTTCTTATTTGTCCTGATTCTGAGGGACGCGGGTGGCGCTATGGGTTAAGCCACAGAGCCTAGGACTTGCCAATCAGAAGGTCGGCGGTTTGAATCCCCGCGACGGGGTGAGCTCCCGTTGCTCAGTCCCTGCTCCTGCCAAACTAGCAGTTTGAAAGCACATCGAAGTGCAAGTAGATAAATAGATACCACTCGGGCGGAAAGGTAAACGGTGTTTCCGTGCACTGCTCTGGTTCGCCAGAAGTGGCTTAGTCATGCTGGCCACATGACCCGGAAGCTGTACCCCGGCTCCCTCGGCCAATAAAGCAACCCCAGAGTTGGCCACGACTGGACCTAATGGTCAGGAGTCCCTTTACCTTTACCTTTACCTTTACTTGCAAAAAATCTGGGCTTGTCAAGGCTGAGAGGAAGATAAACGGAACTGATAATGGGGAAATATCCAGGGTGCTAGCCTGAAATTGTAACCAGCCCCTCTGGCTGGCTTCTCTAGATGCCAACGTAGGACACTTACAGGTGTTTTCATCTCTTAGGTCTGCCGCCAGGCTCTGAAGTTCCTGTCCCAAATTCATAGCCAGCCCTTGATCAACTTGAAGCTAGTGAACGAGACTCTCTATGACCATGTGGACCACATGAGCCACATCTACAAGAGCCGGGAGCAGCTGAAACTCCTTGGTGACTACCTGGTCCTTTGTCGCAGTGGAGCCCTGAAAGAGATCAGCAAGAGGTGAGGCTTCACTATACAGGGGGTCCACCTTCTCCCCCCCCCTTTCTTCCAGGCCCCAAGCCTTTGACCCATACCCTCTTTTCTTTCCCCAAGTAAATTTTTATTGTTTTCCTTACACATTCTTTTCCAACAAACCATATTAATGCCATACATTCCCTTTGACTCTGCCGAGTCGCGACTCCCCTCCCTCCCTGCAGTTGGTATATTTAACCCCTTTCTATCAAGCACATCATTCTCACAATAGTACTATTATACATTGAAGGTATTATGTCAATCCTGCTAGTGTCTTGACCTCTTTACAATTCTCCTTTAAATATTCAATAAATTTACTCCAGTTATTTTGGTATCTTTGGTCTTCCTGGTCCCGGATCCTCCCTGACAATTTGGCAAGTTCTGCATATTCTGTCAGCTTCACCTGCCACTCCTGGATGGTTGGTATGTCTTGTGTTTTCCATCTTTGGGCCAGGAGGGTTCTTGCAGCGGCCGTACCATACATAAACAGATTTTGGCCTTTGACCCATTCTCTGTTGTCCATGTTCCTAACTGGATAAGGGCAGGCAGCTAACATGCGTGGAAAATGCCGTGCAGATCCTTGAAGATCTTGGCTTCATTTTTTACGTACATTTCAAAAAAGGAACGCTCCCTCCATAAACCCTCCAGGTGACGATTTCAAAGAGAGAATGAGATTTTGGGCAGAGCCTCTTTTGCTGAGTTGGTCCTCAGTTGAACAAGATTCTTAGGAGTGGACTTGAGGCTGCTCGCAAATATTTGCTGCTTGCAAGTTACTTATCCAGGGCACTGTTCCGTCATCAAATTAAACAATGCTTTTGAAAACAAACTACCGTATTTTTTGCTCTATAAGACTCACTTTTTCCCTCCTAAAAAGTAAGGGGAAATGTGTGTGCGTCTTATGGAGCGAATGCAGGCTGTGCAGCTATCCCAGAAGCCAGAACAGCAAGAGGGATTGCTGCTTTCATTGCGCAGTGATCCCTCTTGCTGTTCTGGCTTCTGAGATTCAGAATATTTTTTTTCTTGTTTTCCTCTTCCAAAAACTAGGTGCGTCTTGTGGTCTGGAGTGAAAAATATGGTAATTGGAATGTGCTTAAATGTCTGTTGAACAACCTAAACATACTGCTGTTGAGGAAATAAGCAGAGCTGTGTATCATTTCTATTTTGTTATTTTTTAAAAAGAAAATCCTCAGAGAAAAAAAGGCTATATTCTGTACCATCAATACTGTTCTTCCCCAAACTTTTGATACCTGCACAGTTTTTGCGTCCAGATTAGCATTAGAGGCATGCTTCAGCTTTCCGCTGAACAAATATATATTATTGACTGGCTCCAAAACCAAGGGCAGACCTCTTCCTTGCCAGTGCCTTCTGATGCCTCACCTTCCCCAGTCGTGGACCTCTTCTTTCTGGGCAATGGTGATGCTATGGGGATTCCCCCAAGTCTGTCTGCTAAGGCACAGGCTGCATCAAGGCAATCCCTAAAAGAGATTTCACTGCCTCTGCACTGGCAAAGAGAGAAGAAGTTCCATGTAGGAGGTTCAGTGGAGGTGCCCTACTCCAACAGGGACAGAATGGTGGGATTAATCCTACATAGTGGTTTAGTTTTCCAAGGAATGTCTCAGCCTTTTCACGGTACATTAGTGCACCCACAGGGACGTGGGTGGCGCTGCGGGTTAAACCACAGAGCCTAGGACTTTCCAATCAGAAGGTTGGCGGTTCGAATCCCCGCGACGGGGTGAGCTCCCGTTGCTCAGTCCCTGCTCCTGCCAACCTAGCAGTTCAAAAGCACGTCAAAGTGCAAGTAGATAAATAGGTACCGCTCCAGCGGGAAGGTAAATGGCATTTCCGTGTGCTGCTCTGGTTTGCCAGAAGCAGCTTAGTCATGCTGGCCACATGACCCGGAAGCTGTACGCCGGCTCCCTCGGCCAATAAAGCGAGATGAGCATCGCAACCCCAGAGTCGGTCACGACTGGACCTAATGGTCAGGGGTCCCTTTACCTAGTGCATCTTGGCATATAATTTGGGGATTGCTGTACCTTATACAAAATCTGTCCTTCAACCCATGAAGCCTAGAAACTTTGGACTCAGCTAGGGGACGCAGGTGGCACTGTGGTCTAAACCACTGAGCCTCTTGGGTTTGCTGATCAGAAGGTTGGCGGTTCTAATCCCTGTGACAGGGTCCTAGCTCTAGCCAACCTAGCAGTTCGAAAGCACACCAGTGCAAGTAGATAAATAGGTACCGCTGTGGCAGGAAGGTAAACAGCATTTCCATGCGCTCTGGTTTCCGTCATGGTGTTCTATTGCACCAGAAGCAGTTTAGTCATGCTGGCCACATGACCCGGAAAGCTGTTGTGAACAAATGCAGGCTTCCTTGGCCTCAAAAGTGAGATGAGCACCGCAACCCCAGAGTCTCCTTTGACTGGACTTAACCGTCCAGGGGTCCTTTACCTTTCCTTTTCTTTTTTACAACATTTTAAGTGCATTATACAAATCTGACACTAGATGGCACTGATGAGCTAATGGCAAATTCCAGACATACTTTACAACATTTTTTAAAAAAGCATTTTCACAGCATTTTTTATATCTGTGGCAAATGTAGAAGCAGGAGATGCAGAGAAATGAGATTGGGGGAAACAGCCGAAGAAGGTTGACCGTAGACATGCATGAAAATGTGTGGCCTTCCCTATCGCCCTGTCCTTGCAAGCCAATTAGGAGCATAGGGATTATATGGCTTCTATACAGCTCTTGGCAGCAGATGGGAAAAGCTCTTAATAAACTGTTCCTTCTCTTTTGTATCCTTTCCAAAGGCTCGATCACCGGCACTACCTCCTGGAATGTCCCCATAAATACAGCGTGGCTGACCTCAGGCAGGTAGGAGATCTGGAAAGAGGAAGCTTCTGAAACGAGGGTTTGCCTCAGGAAAACGTACCCCACTTTATCCACGATTCCCCCACAACCCAGCCCAAGGCTGGCGCCCCTTAACCTACACACGTTAGAATGCAGCGTGCTGAACCAAAACAGAGAAACTGGTCTGAGCATGCTCAGAAGCAAGCTTTTATTCCTTTGCCTTGAGAGAGCTTTGAAAACAGCTTTGGAGTCTTAAGGGCTCACATGGAACCTCATTGGTGCTCTCCCCAATATGTGCCAAATTTCCCTTTTGTCCTGCATGTTGCAGATGCTTTGTTATCTGTGTCAGACCTTCAGGTGTGAGTCAGTCACCTGGCCTCTCTGTATTCACAGCTGCCTCATAGATAAAGGTTTCCCTTTTACGACCACCCTTCCCCACCTGCTAATACCTACGGGACCGCCTCTCCTGATATGTCCCACGGAGGACCTTACGGTCTTCAAATAAAAACATTTTGGAGGTCCCAGGCCACAGAGAGGTTAGGCTGGCCTCAACCAGAGCCAGGGCTTTTTCGGCTGTGGCCCCGATCTGGTGGAACGCTCTGTCACAAGAGACTAGGGCCCTGTGGGACTTGACATCTTTCCGCAGGGCCTGCAAGACAGAGCTGTTCCACCAGGCCTTTGGCCAAGGCACAGTCTGACCCCCTCCTTTGGTGATCCTCGTAGAACTCTGGCCCAGTGGTTGCCATTTGATTTTGAATTGCCGTATTTTTCGCTCTATAAGACGCACCAGACCACAAGACGCACCTAGTTTTTGGAGGAGGAAAGCAAGAAAAAAAATATTCTGAATCTCAGAAGCCAGAACAGCAAGAGGGATCGCTGCGCATTGAAAGCAGCAATCCCTCTTGCTGTTCTGGCTTCTGGGATAGCTGCGCAGCCTGTATTCGCTCCATAAGATGCACACACATTTCCCCCTACTTTTTAGGAGGGGAAAAGTTAGTCTTTTAGAGCAAAAAATACGGTATTTTAGAATATTAATTTTAGAATGCTGTGTTACTTTTATTGCTGTTAGCTGCTCTGAGCCCGGTTTCGGCTGTGGAGGGCGGGATATAAATAATTTATTATTATTATTATTAATAGTCCTCCTCTGTTCCTAGATAGCGGACGGCGTGTTTGAGACATTCCTCCAGTCTCTAATTCAGTTTGCCTCCCATCACGTCTACAATTGCGACCTGTGCACACAGAGGGGCTTCATCTGCGAGATCTGCAACAGGAACGACATCATCTTCCCCTTTGAATTTGACACGACGACCAGGTGAGCGTTCTTCCTCTCTTCCCCAACTTGGCTTTGGAGTCAAGTTTTCATTTTTATTTTTTTTGGGAAAATAATAAATTTTATTGATTTTCCATACAATTATACATTTTTATTCAAAATACATCCAATTGTCTCTTTTTTGAACTTCCTTCAGCGTCTCTGACAATCATCCGTATTTATAACTTTAGTTACACATTCCCTTCTTTCGTATTGCCATTATACTTCCCTTCTCCCACTATTTCATATTAACAATACTTCTCTATTTTTACAGTGCCTCTTGAAATCCCACTAGCGTTGTGTTCATGCCACATATGTTTTTCAGATAATCTACGAACTTTCCCCAGTCTTCGATGAACTTTTGGTCTTTAGTGTATCTGATTTTCCCAGTTAATTTATCCAATTCCGCAAAGTCTGTCAATTTCAGTCTCCATTCTTCTATCGTCGGTATTTCCTCTTGTTTCCATCTCTGGGCTAACAAGATTCTGGCTGCCGTTACTGCATATTGGCAGGGGAGACACCTTGATCATATGGAGTCAAGTTTTCAAAGAAGCGATTGTGTTCATTTTTATTCATGTATTTGTCACGTGTCTATACCACCTTTATCTTCCAAGGAGTTCGAGGTGGTGTAGATGGTTCCCCTTCCTTCCCACTTCACCCTCACGACAACCCTGTGAGGTTGGTCAGGCTGAGAGACGGTGGCTGGCCCAAGGTCACCCAGGGACCTTCATGGCTGAATGGGGATTCGAACCCGGGTTTCCCAGGCCATAGTCCAACACTAACTGTTGCACCACACTGCCTGTTTTGCAATGGAGGGGGAGAGGTGAAGAATAAGTATTTCTTTATTAATATTTATTAATAATAATAATACAGTCATACCTCATGTTACGTTTGCTTCATGTTACGTTTCTTCAGGTTGCGTCCCGCAGAGACCCGGAAGTACTGGAAAGGGTTACTTCCGGGTTTCGCTGCTCACGCATGCACACAAGCGCCAAATCACGCCGCGCACCTGCGCAGATACGGCGCTTCAGGTTGTGGGCTTTTCATGTTGTGAACGGGCCTCCAGAATGGATCCTGTTCGCAAGCAGAGGTACCGCTGTATCTTACCATAAAAATGCCCCAAAGCAACTTAGAACTGTAAAAGCATACATAATGCAAAATTTAAAATACACCAAAAAGATATAAACACATGATTAAAATGGGGGGGGGGGTATTGGGTTATTGTTTTTATTTTTATTATGTATTTTGTGATTTTATTCTGTGAACCGCCCTCGGACCCCCGGGTATAGGACGGTATATAAATTCAATGAATAAATAAATAAAATAACAAAAAAATCATCCTGCAGTGTTATCTCCCATGCCCTGGAGCTCAAGGTGCAGCTGAGGAATAGGCTTGGCAAGGCATTTATTGGGGATGCTTTAGGTATATTATCTTCAGGCAAACTGGTGTTCCATGACATCCCTTCCAATCCTATTATTGTAAGAGGGCAGTGTTTTTGAAAATCAGTGGCGGGGGGTGGGGGGTGGGATAATGCTTCAGCGGCGAGAAGATCCACCATTTTTTAGCAACCTGTGGCCATCAGGATGACGTTGGCCCTGCAGCCTTCACAGCCAGTGGACCAACAGCTTCTGGAAGAGAACGTCTTCCTCATCTCTGTTCGGCAGGGACGGTCAGAACGCTGAACAGGAATTCAGGCCCCGGTTCCTCCTTTAAAGTAGCTTTTGAATACCCTACTTCCTTTTACCCTCACCCCAGCTCACTCTCACAAGTCTGCAACATCGGGGCAGCGCAGACAAGAGAGCCGTCGGCAGGCCTGGTTCACAGAAGATTGCCGCCCTCTGCTCGCTGGCTTTGTGCTGAGGCAGGAAGAGTGCCTGCTTGCTGAGCTGATGCAGTTTCCTGTCGCCCGAATCAGGCTATTTCCCCGGGGAGGCAGGATGTGCCTGGAGCTCTCCTGACAATAGCTCCGAGGAGGAGCAGGCGCTTCCTGAATCGCTGTCCTGCACAGGTGGCAGCCTGAGGTCACTTCCTCTTGCGTAGCCGTTCAGCCGCAGGGGCACAAAGTTACCAGTCTGCTTTTGAGCAGAGGAAAAGAGGAAAATAAGTCCGAGGGCTGTGCTGCGTGCTGGCTGCAAACAGGGGGGGATGGTTCTTCCAAAAGCCAAATGCAAGCGTGGAAGTTTGTTCTGAACTGAACAGATCACACAATTCACAGAGAGGTTTTTAAACAAGCCCAGCATGGTGACTTGAAAAGGGGTGGCGAGACAGGGGATGGAGAGGGTGGTAGCCGGCAGTCCTAAGCATAATTTTGTTTTTGTTTATTTCAAATTTTCAAATTAATTTTCCAGATTTTTTTTAAAAAAACAGACAGACAGACAAACATACATACGTATCCACGGTAAATAAACCGATCTTAATAACATTATTAAGTGACTTCCTCGTATCCCCCTGGTTGAATTTCAGCGTATATCATTTTAACGGTTTTCCAAAACCTAAACTCTTAAAAATTTAACTTAATCACTTGACATCTTTCTTAACCATTCAACTTTAAACATATTAATTCATCACATTGCATATTTAAATCCTAAGCCTATCTGGTAATTGCAAGCTTTCCAATTAAGTTAATTTAACATGTTTAACTAAGCATAATTTTGTTTAAAAAACCTGCAAGCGATCGGTTCAGAGCTCTGTTGACCTGTGCCTCCCTTGGCAGCTTGCTAGATGTGGAGGAAGAAAGAGAGAAGAGAAGAAAAATTGGGTGTCAGAAGGTGAGGGTGGGGGAATGACTGGTCCCACCACTGACTTCAGCCCTGCCCACATCTGTGGGATGTGGCCCCCAACAGATTCTGCTTGAGGGAATGCGGCCCTTGACAAGGGGAGTTCTCTACCCCGCCCTCACTTTAATGGTCTGTCTGTACTTCTTTCCCCTCCCTTACAGTTTGCATGAATTGCTTCGGCAATTAACCTCCTCTTTTCCCAACAGGTGCAAGGTGTGCAAGACTGTCTTCCACAGCAGCTGCCAGGCAAATTCCAGTTTCTGTCCTCGCTGCGTCCGCCGGGAGGAATACCAGCAGAAGCTGCAGGCCTCCCTTTGCAAATGACCTCTCCCTGAAGAGGGGCAGACCACAGCCCTTAAGGGGGCAGAACAGAGGACAGCTGGGAAAAGAACAGAGGCAGGCTTTGGAGCAAAGGAAGGCCCTGGCTAGTCACATAACTCCTTTCCCCTGAAGGTCCAACCCATCAGGGATCACCTGGGCTCTGGCGACATCAGCTGTGGATCACATTTCCGACAGAGAAATGTGGGAAGGAGGCAGTGGCTTCCTTGTGCCGATCTGCCGCTGCCACCTGGAGCCAATCCTTTCATTTCTGTCTCTTTCCGGCCTCTGCAGACAAAATACCTGGCTGCTTTGGGCGCAGCAAGCATTTGATACGCGTAAGACTTGTTGGACTTGGACTCCTAGGGAGACGAAATTTTGATTCTAAAAGCGATAAGAAAGGGTGGGGGGGTTTCTGTTTTGTTTTTAAATTAATGCACTTTGTAGCAGAGTTCTTGTGCCTTCCGCACTTTACAGGCTACCCCTGAATCGCCACGTGCCAAACAGCTGCTGAATCCTCTGGGATAACACATTCCAGCACCCTCCAAGCAAAGTGACCTTCTTACAAATAATAAACCACTTCTCTGCTCCTTCTTTTTTAATGCTAGGCCAATGGGTTCCAGAGATGAATTTTTATTTTCCATTTTAATCTTCTATGCAGATAATAAAAAGTAATTTAATAAGGAACTAACTCGGGGGCCTCTTGTTTCTTTGCAGCTTCCTTTGCCTCCAAAGTTTGGGTGTTAGGGGAGACATTGTTTGTTCACCTTTGGTTTCTACCCTGCACTTGAGAGCTCTCACCCGTGGCACCTAGAAGCTATGAGCATGCGGCAGTGACCACATCAGGGAAACAGCTTTGAGTGGGTGGCTAACGCAGGTGAGGGCAGTCTTAAACCATTGATGGGTTAGGGACTTGTCTATCCCCTGCCTGCAAAGACAGGCTCCGGCGGATTGAGGAAACGAGACCAATAGTGGGTCCAGCGGTCAAGAAGACAGTGACTGCACATGTTGTCGAGGGAAATGAGTGACAGATGGGGCTTGTCAACCAGGGAAGGTAACCCCTCTAGGAGAAGGAAAACTCTCATCCTAAATCTCTGCTGCCTTGCGGCTATAGTCATTTGTGAGAAAGGCTTTGGCAACAAAAATCCATGCCCACTGTCTTGTGGGACATCTTCGGGAGAGGAAAAGGCTAAGGGATTAGTAGACCCTACACAAATCCAGAGTGGAGGCCCTAAGTGTCGGAATCTGCGCTCGGCCAAGCTGATAAAGCCTCATCTTCCTCCTAGCCGAGCCTTCAGAATCGCCTCCCGACGTGTTTAATGACCTGAGCCTTTGATGAGGCTCCAAGGCACATTCTTCAGCAGAGGTCCCAGCACAGGGAAGAGACGAGAGGTTTGGGCTACATTGTAAAGAGGACACCACTAACGTCACATCCTGTCTCCCTTCTCCCGTGAGACTTCCAATAGCCTGGAATCCCTGGAATGTAAACAGAGTCTTGTGACTCCAAAAGCAGCTGCTCAGTGGCAAACAGAAACTAACACTAAGATGGTTGGATGGCGTCTTGTACGCCTCCTTCCAGCAACACCTGCAGCCAAGCTGGTGCCAAACGTGTGGCTCTGCTTTCATTTGGACCACGTCAGCGAGGCTGAGAAGGGAGGTCTTGTCGTCTGAGCAGCCCAGGACCTCCAGACACACTGCCCAGGCAGAGTCAAGCCCTGGGGAGGTCACTTGGGTGCTGCTAACACAGCAAAAGCAACACAAGAGGCAGTGGGTATGAGTTACGGGTATCTGCAGCCACAGCAGGTGCTGTGATTCTCCAGCAGTTTAGCTACACACACACACACACACACACACACACACCCAAGAGACACACTCCTTTGTCTCTGGAAGCAGACACATGCCAACAACAAGAAACCAAAAGTCCTTTTCCAATGTTGACACAAACCAGGCAACCAACATGGGCTTTCTACTCAGGAAGATGCTTCACACAAGACAGTAACTGACAGAAAAAGGAAAGGTGCATGAACAGGTGATACTGAAAAATGTATTTTTTATATATATATATATATATATATATATATATATATATATAGAATTTTTAATATATATTTTTAAGACACATTGGTGACTGGGTGAATCACTATCACAGCCTTACTGAGTTTTTGAGAGGATAAAATGAGGCATAGCGCCTTGAGCTCTGTGGAGGAAAGATGCAATACCAATGCATCTTTGAATGATGTAAGTATGTGAGATGGAAGCAAATATATTAATATAGCATGGGTCAGCTAGGGAAATGATGTGGTTTTAGTTAAAGCGAGTATGGAGAGGAAGTGATGCCTCTGTGTATGTACATGAGGAAATGTGAGCAGCTTGGGAGGGTGGTTTTTAGATGTCACGTTGAAAAATGGCATGTCAAATCTCAGCCTTAGAAGGAAGCCACAAGATCACACCCACCCGCTCCCATAATTAAGGTTCCCAAATGTGAAAATCTGGACAGAGGATTTGTTTTGTTCTTGGTCAAAATTGTTGAGCTTCTTTTGGGAACAACATCTACATTTTTAGGCTTTGGGGGGATTTCTAAGGCACTGTTTGTTAAAAATTGCTCCACTTATCATATGTCCAGGTTTCCCCAGATATTTTGCCGATTTGGCAAAAATCGGCCCAGACGCCAATTTTTGGAAGCGATTCCCGGATGTGTCCTCAAAAAGCCTTGGAGTCCAGAAGATGTCAGCAATTATTGTCTGATAGCTACAAGTCCTTTCCTGTATCCAATTTGGCCTGGTTTTGGCACAGGAACTGCTTTGGCCACCCTGATTTGGTCACCTGTTTGGGGAGGATGAGGGGAATACAATCCTGCTAATTCTCTTAAAACCCTGAGTGGTTTTCTCTGCCAATGAGTCATGGCATTGTGAATTAGCTCTCTGAACTGGAGTTTGGGGGGTCCTGTGCTTCTGTGGGGCCAGACCTACCTGGGTTTTCTTGCCCTCATGGTTTCCAACCTCTGTTTCAAGTGGGGCAGGGCCAAGCTGCAGCCTGATTTCAAAAGTGATCTACAAGCAAGCGATCAGCTCAGACCTCTGACAAGAGCAGAGCTTTCCAAATTTTCATGTTGGTGACACACTGTTTAGACACGCACCGTTTTGTGACACAGTAGTTCAGTTTTGGACACTGGTGGCGCTGTGGGTTAAACCACAGAGCCTAGGACTTGCCGATCAGAAGGTCGCGGTTCGAATCCCCGCGACGGGGTGAGCTCCTGTTGCTCGGTCCCTGCTCCTGCCAACCTAGCAGCTTGAAAGCACGTCAAAGTGCAAGTAGATAAATAGGTACTGCTCCGACGGGAAGGTAAACGGTGTTTCCGTGCGCTGCTCTGGTTCTCCAGAAGCGGCTTAGTCCTGCTGGCCACATGACCCAGAAGCTGTACATCGGCTCCCTCGGCCAATAAAGCAAGATGAGCGCCGCAACCCCAGAGTCGGCAACGACTGGACCTAATGGTCAGGGGTCCCTTTGCCCTTTACCTAGTTCAGTTTTACTAGCGAACCGGAGGTTAAACTAACCTTTTTCCAGCCCCGGGAGGAGTGCGGGGAGCGTTTTGTGCGACACACCTACACACTGCAGCCGACACGCTAATGTAAGGTTACCAGATTTTTTTCAAAGAACCCGGTTACACTCTTTTTTTAAAAAAAGAGAGAGAGAGAAAAGTTATTTTTTTAAAGTTAAAAAAAGAGTAATATCTTTTCTGTAGTCCCCTCTGTCTGTAGGCCTTCCTCTGGGCCCTGGCCTGCTCTCTTGGAGCGCTAGCCTTCCCAGTGCTCTCCTACCTCTCCTCCTGAGCGGCAGTGGCGCGGCAAGGTAAGAGCTCCCCTTTTTTTCTTCCTCTCTCTCCTCCTCCTCCTCCTCCTCTCCTCCTTCTCCCTGTGTTGGCTCCGGGGTTTTCCTAGCCCCAGAGCGCAGTTGGCCAGGTACTCTCTCGCTCGCAGCTTGATTTGGGTCTTGGGGGGGTGGTGTCAGTGGTTGACGCGCCGGGCGTCCCCGGTTCTCCTTCGGCAGTGGCAGTCTCAGCAGCCCGGAGCCAGCCTGGTAGCGCAGTTGGCTCTGGCTGGCTTCAGGAGCTGCTCGCTGCCGTGGCACCCGCCATTTTGCCTCGCCGGAAGTCCCCATATAATGTGTCTTGTGCCGTTGAACCAATCACACAACATTCATTCCCTACTAATATAAAATATAAATCCCTTAAAATATAAATCCAGGGACATTAAAAGAAATCCGGGGACATTCCAGGGACGGATTTTGTCCAGGTAAAGGTAAAGGTAAATGGACCCCTGACCGTTAGGTCCAGTCGTGACTGACTTTGGGGTTGCGGTGCTCATCTCGCTTTATTGGCCAAGGGAGCTGGCATACAGCTTCCGGGTCATGTGGCCAGCATGACTAAGCCGCTTCTGGTGAACCAGAGCAGCGCACAGAAACGCTGTTTACCTTCCCGCAGGAGAGGTACCTATTTATCTACTTGCATTTTGATGTGCTTTTGAACTGCTAGGTTGGCAGGAGCAGGGACTGAGCAACGGGAGCTCACCCTGTTGCGGGGATTCGAACCGCCGACCTTCTGATTGGCAAGTCCTAGGCTCTGTGGTTTAACCCACAGTGCCACCCGCATCCCATTTTGTCCAGGTACAGATATGTAAATCCAGGGACTGTCCCCGGGAAATGGGGACATCTGGTAACCATACGCTAACGTGTCAAGATGCACAGTTTGGAAAGCTCTGGGCAAGAGTGATCTGTTTTCCCTGCCCCATCCCAAGCAACCTGCAGGCGAAGGAGAAGAGGGGATCAGGGAGAGAAAAAAGGAAGTGAGAGAAAAAATGGTGACCCAAGCGTCATGCAAGCCCCTACTCCAAGATTACCCCTGAAGGAAAACAACCGTAAAAGGGGGGAAAGTTTCCCCAGAATTGATCCACCTGAGTGAGGCCATCAAGAGATGAGTTGCAGGATTCTGGCAGAATCCGAGACCAGAG